GGTGGTATTGAGGCCCTTGGCTTAATTTGGTATTGCTCAGTTTTGGGGATTCATGAATTTGCAATGATTGCAGTAGTCTTACGTTCTAAAATATTAGTTGGATCTCGTTAAATTTTAATGTAGATACTTTCCTCGAGTAAATCTTTAATTGTATTATCATAATCGGCTCGTGACATCGCTACAGTAGTGCGGCCTTTATCAGCTGCCAGAATTTGAATATCTTTATTTAATCGGAGCTCTCTTAAGGCTTTTGCTTCGTTAGAGCTATTTATTTTTTGGTACTTTCTATTCTCAATTATTTTGGCAACCTCATGTCTAGTCATCTCTGCCTCATTATGTGGAAGGAGTCTTACCGCTGATTCTACCTCAGCAATTATCTCATCCACTGGAATTGTGCGTGGGGTAACGGCAAAGTTAAGGCCTTTAGAAAGGACGGAAATCATGACGCTGGTTAAAACAGTGGTAAGTTCATTACGGTTTTGTTTTTAAATTGTTTTTAGTTTGGAATTGTTTGTTATGAAGTCTAGAGAATTTATTATTTTTTGTTAGATTAAATACATTATCAGCCGATTGTTGTGTTATAGTATCGATTATATTCCAATAATGAATGGATACACTATTGCTTATATGTAAGTGCAAGTGGATTAGAGATTCCGAAATGTGAGATAATTCACTCCTGTTGTGCTGTATTCTCTCTAGCAATAATAATTCGCTGACTTTGTGTAGTATTTGGTTAGCTTTAACAGACTTTATGTGATGTGTTATTTTAACTGCGTTTGGTATTACCTTCGAATCTTTGCACCTTTTGAGGAACGCCAGTGAAGATTTCAATTTTACCCGCTTAATGCGTAGCTTCTCCAATTTTCTGGTTTTAAGAAAAGTATCCTCCCCATAGAGGTTAGTCAGTTTATAAATAACGCAATCTCACCAAAAAACCTTTATTTTAAGTAATATTGGTCGTGAAAGCCTACGTATTAAAATGGCTGTCCAATGGATAGACTCAGCCCCGCCGTATGAACGTGGAATCTCCACCACTGGCTTTGCTCGGCTGTAAACGGGAGATGAGCACCAAATGCCTCGATGATCATACGGGCAGGAAACGGCTTTGGCTGTTGAATTCAAAGTGAAACGCCAGCAGAGGGAGGCATTGCCACGCGATACGCTGGGCTATCTGCCACCTCTGCCCATCATTATTGCAATCTGTATGGGCGGCTGTGGCTCCGGAAAGTCCACGAGTAGAGTTCGCACCTGGTTAAACATATAAACTTTAATTATTATTACTATTCTTCCTCTTGTTTACCCAGGGAAACCTCACCGAGTCTCAAGAATCGCTTCCATGAGGGGCCTGCCAATTTGTCGCAGCAGTAGGGGGGACGATGTTGCTGGTCCTGCGTGTAATGCCACTCGAATAATTTGCAGGATCATGTTTTAAGCATTGGGTGGTTACGTTGTGGCGCACGCACGTGATCCAGTTTGCGGAGGCGGCGAGGATTGGTGGATCACAGAAATGTCGGGAAACACCCTTTCCTTGCAGGTCGAGATGCCCTAAGCCTTTGGTCGTCACAAGAGGGCGGAACAGCAACACCTGTTTCGTCTGCATGGGATAGAGCCTTTCCCCCTCGCATGTGCCGGTTTTTATCGGGGTGCTTCGGTTTCCTCCCATTGTAAAAAAAAACGTATTCATTGGATGCGTGTATGTTGAACATTTTTCACACCGTATGTAGCCAACCGTGCCTATCAGAGGTGCGGGGGAAGAACAACAAACTAAACACAAAACGCAGTTTTAAAGAAATGAGTTTTCAATCAACATTTAAAAGTGCATTGTATCGGAAGTAAGAGCGTTCCAGACAACCGCAGAAGCGCATCTAAAAGCGTGTGGGATTTCTCCAGGTGCGCCAGTTTCCCTCTTGCGTGTAAACAATCATCGTTATAATATATAGAGGACCCCAGAGCCCGGGCAATTATAGGTAGTGACGGCTGACCGCCTGGCCTGCTGCTGCCTTCGCCGATTTCCTGTGGCTCCTCCTCGGTGCCGCCTCCTCCTCGTCTGTCTCTCTTCGAGAGCGATGAGTGAACGCTGATTGTGGCGGCACGTTACAAGTTTACGGAATGTTTTTAGTTACTATCGTGTGTGTGTGTGGTTAGCCATGGGAGTAAACCGCAGAACCCGGGGGAACCCCATGGATAACAAGAATACAAACTCCGCACAGAAAAGCGCCTAACTCGGTGATCGAATCCATGGCTCCTTGCTGTGAGGCACCAGTGCCGTCCTACTCCCCAAGGTAACCAAGGCGCCAAGGAAGAATGTGTCTCGCCAGAGCGTGGTAGCAGCACCTCCTGCTGCCGACACCGCGGCCACGAACCAAACTTGCGGAACAAAAACCGACAAGTGTACAAGACGCGCGCGCGGGATGGCACTGAGAGACGGAGAGACGAGGAACGCGTGGATTAGAGAACAGGATAGAGACACCATCATCATCATCATCTAGACCATGGGTCGGCAACCAAAACAACAGGAAAAGATTATCTTTTTCGGTAAAAAACAGCAACATTTCAAGATCCGTAATGCGTGCGGTGAACACGAGAGGCGGTGGGTCCTTAAGAAATGACGTCACGAAGCAGCCCTCCATGAGCCGCATGCGGCTCCAGAGCCACAGGTTGCCGAACCCTGCCCATGGTAAACTGGACTTCCATGGTGACCTGGACTTCCATGGTGAACTTTACTTACATGGTAAACTGGACTTCCATGGTAAACTGGACTTCCATGGTGAACTGGACTTCCATGGTAAACTGGACTTCCATGGTGAACTTTACTTACATGGTAAACTGGACTTCCATGGTAAACTGGACTTCCATGGTGAACTGAACTTCTATGGTGACCTGGACTTCCATGGTGAACTGGACTTCCATGGTGACCTGGACTTCCACGGTGAACTGGACTTCCATGGTAAACTGGACTTCCATGGTGACCTGGACTTCAATGGTGAACTGGACATCCATGGTGAACTTTACTTACATGGTAAACTGGACTTCCATGGTGAACTGGACTTCCATGGTGAACTGGACTCGCATGGTGAACTGGACTTCCATGGTGACCTGGACTCCCATGGTCAGGGGTCGGCAAACCAAAACAACAAGAAGAGCCATTTTTTTCGAATTTCAAGAGTCGCGCTGCAGTCCTTAAAGAGCCACCGCACGCGGCTCCGGAGCCGCAGGTTGCCGACCCCCTGACCCAGACCGTCAAGAGAAGCGAGTGGGGCCTGGGCAGGACGCGTCATGGCTAGCAGGGAGGACGGACGATGGAAAATGATAACTACGGAGTGGTAGCCCGAGAGGCCGTCCAACCGGGGAGATGGAGCGGTGAGCTCGGTTTGTGTGCAGGTGCCGGGTGGATTGTTACACCATCTCGCTCACCCGTCCACCATCCTGCTCACTCACTCGTCCATTCACCAACTCACTCGCCTTCACCCAGCAGTGGATTGATCTTGGCTGCTGCTGCTGGTGACGATGTCTATACCCCCGAAGGTCCCCGAGGGGTTCACCGCTGCGCCATTGTATTGCGAGGGATGAGGTGGGGGTGGACCCCGCGGGGATCACGCGGGGTCCACCCACCCGGGTTTCCTGCGAGTCGCGGGGGCAGCCCCGGGTCCAGGCGAGCGCTGGGGCGCAGCCCGCCCCAGCGGCGTCCCGCCCGGCTGCGCCATCGAGACGACAGCCTGCTGGGTGGGTGGCTGGGTGGGTGAGTGGGTCAGTGGGTGGCTGGGTGGGTGAGTGGGTCAGTGGTTGACTGGGTGGGTGAGTGGGTGGCTGGGTGGGTGAGTGGGTTAGTGGGTGGCTGGGTGGGTGAGTGGGTCAGTGGGTGGCTGGGTGGGTGAGTGGGTCAGTGGGTGACTGGGTGGGTGAGTGGGTGGCTGGGTGGGTGAATGGGTCAGTGGGTGGCTGGTGGGTGAGTGGGTCAGTGGGTGACTGGGTGGGTGAGTGGGTGGCTGGGTGGGTGAGTGGGTCAGTGGGTGACTGGGTGGGTGAGTGGGTCAGTGGGTGACTGGGTGGGTGAGTGGGTGGCTGGGTGGGTGAGTGGGTCAGTGGGTGACTGGGTGGGTGAGTGGGTGGCTGGGTGAGTGGGTCAGTGGGTGACTGGGTGGGTGAGTGGGTGGCTGGGTGGGTGAGTGGGTCAGTGGGTGGCTGGGTGGGTGAGTGGGTGACTGGGTGGGTGAGTGGCTGACTGGGTGGGTGAGTGGGTGGCTGGGTGGGTGAGTGGGTGAGTGGGTGGCTGGGTGGGTGATTGGGTGAGTGGGTGGCTGGGTGGGTGAGTGGGTGGCTGGGTGGGTGAGTGGGTCAGTGGGTGGCTGGGTGGGGGAGAGGAGACCGCGTGGTTGAGGGAAGAGACCTCGGTGAGAGATAGGGGACCTGGGATAATCGGAATAGGAGACCTGGGTGGCAGATAGGAGACTAGAGCGAGAAGGGATAGGAGACCTGGTTGGGTGAGGGAAGAGGGAGACCTGGTTAAGGGAAGGGTGAGGGAGGGGAGCGGAGACCTGGGAGGAGGAAGAAGAGAGGGAGGAGGAGGAGAGGGAGGAGGAGGAAGAGGAGAGGGGAGGAGGAGGAAGAGGAGAGGGAGGAGGAGGAAGAGGAGAGGGAGGAGGGTGCAGCTCTCGGTGGAACCCAGAGGCGGGGCCCCGCGCCGCCGAGAGGTTTCTGTCGCTGAGACCGGACGGACCTGGCCCGGGCTCCCCGGGGCCCTAGAGGGGACCAGCGCGGAACGGGAGGGGATCTGCTGCTCCTTCCAGCCTCAACAACAGCAACATCATCATCATCGTCGTCGTCGTCCTCTTCACCTCCAGAGGTGTCACGTGCTCCGGGGTCCCCGAGCGAAGGAGTCCGGTGAGAGGGCCCCGATTTGAGACGTAAGGGGACCCGCGGTGAGTCGCGGGGATCCCAGGCTAGACGAGTCTCCAGTTAGTAGAAGGGGGGAGGGGGTCCCCGGCGAGGGGGAACTCCTCTGGGGGGGGGGGGGGTTCCCGGGAGCCATGGGCTGCCCGTGCTCGGTTGAGCGGCGCCCCGACGATCCTGGGCCCCCCACCGGGCCCGTGGCCCCTCACCTCTTCGTGGCCCTGTTCGACTACGAGGCGAGGACCCAGGACGACCTGAGCTTCGTGAAGGGGGACATGCTGAGGGTCCCCGACGCGGGCCCCGACAGCTGGTGGTACGCGTGGCTCGTGGAGCGCGGGGCCCCCTCGGAGGGAGGCGCCGAAGGGTGGATCCCGGCGAACTACGTGGCGAGGGTGCAGAGCATCGAGGCAGAGCCGTGAGTACGAAGCCGCGGGGGCGCCTGCACCCCCCCCCCCCCCATCTATAACCCTCCCCATCCATGAGACCCCTCAGTCCCTGAGACCTCTCAGTCCCTGAGACCCCTCTCAGTCCCTGAGACCCCCCTCAGTCCCTGAGACCCCCCTCAGTCACTGAGACCCCTCTCAGTCACTGAGACCCCTCAGTCACTGGGAACCCTCTCAGTCCCTGAGAACCCTCTCAGTCACTGAGAACCCTCTCAGTCACTGAGACCTCTCAGTCACTGAGAACCCTCTCAGTCACTGAGAACCCTCTCTGTTCCTGAGACCTCTCAGTCCCTGAGACCCCTCTCAGTCCCTGAGAACCCTCTCAGTCCCTGAGACCTCTCAGTCCCTGAGACCCCTCAGTCACTGAGACCCCTCAGTCACTGAGAACCCTCTCAGTCACTAAGACCCCTCAGTCACTGAGATCCCTTTCAGTCCCTGAGACCCCTCAGTCACTGAGACCCCTCTCAGTCCCTGAGACCCCTCAGTCACTGAGACCCCTCTCAGTCCCTGAGAACCCTCTCAGTCACTGAGACCCCTCAGTCACTGAGAACCCTCTCAGTCACTGAGACCCCTCCCCATCCCTGAGACCCCTCTCAGTCACTGAGACCCCTCTCAGTCACTGAGAACCCTCTCAGTCCCTGAGAACCCTCCCCATCCCTGAGACCCCTCTCAGTCCCTGAGAACCCTCTCAGTCCCTGAGAACCCTCTCAGTCCCTGAGACCTCTGCACGGGTCCAGGTTCTATCAGAATTGGTCTCTCATGGCCACCGTCAAGACCCTGCTACTGCTGCTGGTGCTGAGCCCATAGCTGCTGCTGCTGCTGAGCCCATAGCTGCTGCTGCTGCAGCAGCAGTCCATAGCTGCTGCTGCTGCTGAGCCTATAGCTGCTGCTGGTGCTGAGCCCATAGCTGCTGCTGGTGCTGAGCCCATAGCTGCTGCTGGTGCTGTCAAACCGCTCATCTCCCGTTTACAGCCCTGCAGAGCCACTGGTGGACGTTCCACATTCATAGTGCGGTTAAGATGGGGGGGGGGGATTATATATATGGGGCAAACACTGTTTGATCACCCCCACAAAGTGGTTACTCATTTAGTTTATCGTCCCAGAACGAAGGGATGATGATGGTGCCGGGTGTATCCGAACCCCGCCTGGGCTCTCAGACTCTCCCATCGCGGGCCGCTGGCTCGCAACTGCTGCGTGAACTTCACAGACGAGGGGGTTGCTCGCTCAACTCACTCACTCACAAAGACAAACATCCCCCATATAGCCTTAACAGACTGTAGGGGCAAGTGCTGTTAGCGAGCACCTATGAAGGCCGGTAACGGTACAAGAGGGGGTGGGTGGCAAGCACCACTCCCGACCGCCTTTGTCTCCCTAGTGGCAATGTTTACACACCACACCAGGTACTCATTTGAGGCTGAGTCGACCTAGGGGAGGCCTAGGACCGGTACAGATAATCGTCACTGGTGTTGGCCGTGAGCGGGAATCGAACCTGTGTCGCCGGGTTCACAGCGCAGCGCGTTAACTGCTACACTATCGCTCCCCACACACACACACTGACTACACATACACACACTGACTATACACACACTGACTACACATACACACACACTGACTATACACATACACACACACTGACTACACACACACTGACTACACATAAACACACACACTGACTACACATACACACACACTGGCTACACATACACACACACTGACTACACATACACACACACTGACTACACATACACACACACTGACTATACACACACTGACTATACACACACTGACTTATCGTCCCAGAACGAAGGGATGATGATGGTGCCGGGTGTATCCGAACCCCGCCTGGGCTCTCAGACTCTCCCATCGCGGGCCGCTGGCTCGCAACTGCTGCGTGAACTTCACAGACGAGGGGGTTGCTCGCTCAACTCACTCACTCACAAAGACAAACATCCCCCATATAGCCTTAACAGACTGTAGGGGCAAGTGCTGTTAGCGAGCACCTATGAAGGCCGGTAACGGTACAAGAGGGGGTGGGTGGCAAGCACCACTCCCGACCGCCTTTGTCTCCCTAGTGGCAATGTTTACACACCACACCAGGTACTCATTTGAGGCTGAGTCGACCTAGGGGAGGCCTAGGACCGGTACAGATAATCGTCACTGGTGTTGGCCGTGAGCGGGAATCGAACCTGTGTCGCCGGGTTCACAGCGCAGCGCGTTAACTGCTACACTATCGCTCCCCACACACACACACTGACTACACATACACACACTGACTATACACACACTGACTACACATACACACACACTGACTATACACATACACACACACTGACTACACACACACTGACTACACATAAACACACACACTGACTACACATACACACACACTGGCTACACATACACACACACTGACTACACATACACACACACTGACTACACACACACTGACTATACACACACTGACTACACATACACACACACTGACTACACATAAACACACACACTGACTATACACAGACTGACTACATATACACACACACTGACTACACATACACACACACTGACTATACACATACACACACACTGACTACACACACACTGACTACACATAAACACACACACTGACTACACATACACACACACTGACTACACATACACACACACTGACTACACATACACACACACTGACTATACACACACTGACTACACATACACACACACTGACTACACATAAACACACACACTGACTACACATACACACACACTGGCTACACATACACACACACTAACTATACACACACACTGATTACACATACACACACACTGACTACACATAAACACACACACTGACTACACATACACACACACTGACTACACATAAACACACACACTGACTACACATACACACACTGACTACACATACATACACACACACTGACTACACATAAACACACACACTAACTACACATACACACACACACTGACTGCACATACACAACAATAACAACAACCGCCATTCGCCACTAAGTGGCGGTGACGTCACTACGACACTTGTGCCAGGCCATGTGCACCTCGAGGCCACGTGAAGTGTCGAACGCCCGCTGACTACACATATATACACACGCACACTGACTACACCTACACACACACACTGACTACACATACACACACACTGACTACACATACACACGTACACACACACACAGACTACACATACACACACTGACTACACATACACACACTGACCACACACACACTGACTACACACATACACTGACTACACACACACTGACTACACACACACACTGAATACACATACATACACACACTGACTACACACACACACTGACTACACACACACACACACTGACTACACACACACTGACTACATACACACACTGACTACACATACATACATACATACACACTGACTACACACTGACTACACACACACGCTGACTACACATACATACACACACTGACTACACACACACTGACTACACATACACTGACTACACACACACTGACTACACACACACTGACTACACACACATATACATACACTGACTACACACACGCACTGACTACACATACACACACTGACTACACACACACTGACTACACACACACTGACTACACACACACACACTGACTACACACACACACACTGACTACACACACACACTGACTACACACACACACTGACTACACACACACTGACTACACACACACACTGACTACACATACATACACACACTGACTACAAACACACACACTGACTACACACACACACACACTGACTACACACACACACACTGACTACATACACACACTGACTACACATACATACATACACACTGACTACACACACACAGACTACACACACACGCTGACTACACATACATACACTGACTACACACACACTGACTACACATACACTGACTACACATACACACACTGACTACACACACACACTGACTACACACACATATACATACACTGACTACACACACGCACTGACTACACATACACACACTGACTACACACACACTGACTACACACACACTGACTACACACACACACACTGACTACACACACACACTGACTACACACACACACTGAATACACACACACACACTGACTACACATATACACACTGACTAGACACACACTGACTACCCACACACTGACTACACACACATATACATACACTGACTACACACACGCACTGACTACACATACACACACTGACTACACACACACTGACTACACACACACACTGACTACACACACACACACACTGACTACACACACACACTGACTACACACACACACACTCACTACACATACACACACTGACTACACACACATATACATACACTGACTACACACACGCACTGACTACACATACACACACTGACTACACACACACTGACTACACACACACTGACTACACACACACACACTGACTACACACACACACACTGACTACACACACACACTGACTACACACACACACTGAATACACACACACACACTGACTACACATATACACACTGACTAGACACACACTGACTACCCACACACTGACTACACACACATATACATACACTGACTACACACACGCACTGACTACACATACACACACTGACTACACACACATATACATACACTGACTACACACACACACACACTGACTACACACACACACACACTGACTACACACACACACTGACTACACACACTGAATACACACACACACACTGACTACACATATACACACTGACTAGACACACACTGACTACCCACACACTGACTACACACACATATACATACACTGACTACACACACGCACTGACTACACATACACACACTGACTACACACACACTGACTACACACACACTGACTACACATAAACACACACACTAACTACACGTACACACACACACTGACTGCACATACACAACAATA